ACAGGAATAAAAACAGAAGAGTTAAGACTTAGAAGAGGGAGGAATTGAAAAACAAGACCAAGGAACTCAATAGAACAAAATAAAGTATGGTGTTATGCTAACATACTGTGGCTCTGGAGCATCCCAGACACAGTGGGACTCCAGATTAACAGCCCATTCAATAGGTGCCCCTGCCAGTGTTATCACCTTGTTCAGAGATGTCACTGAAGAGACCTCCATTTTGGAAATGAGGGCAATGTTTTGTAAATGAAGCCAATACAGCTTGAGTGTCTCGAGATCCTGTGCATATATATATTATAGTACAATGTATATTATAGTACAGCTCATGGGAATTTTTTATTTTTTATTTTTTTGTAAAAGAATTTTCTGATTTTCATTCCAGAACACTGTGCTTATTTTCATACAAATTAAGTTCTCTCATTTTTCCTTTCTGCTTGCAACTGAGTGTAGCAGAATAGGTAACTCCCAAGCTATAAAAATATGAAAATTGGAGGAAAAAATCAAAGTAACCTATTTTTCTTTTCAAAATGTTCTTCACTCTGGAAAAAATACAAATGGAAACAAGAAAAAAAAAAAAAGCCCTAAATACATCAATAAGACAAAGCCCTGCATTGTCTTCAGTGGGGGAGAAAGAACAATGGGATGGGACAGATGAAAACGGAAGGAAAATATACATAAAAACTCATTTTGAGTTTATTTTCAAAAATATCCCACTGTCAATAAAAACAAAAAAAGTTTTTGTCAAACTGTCTGATTTCTGTAAAACTACCAAAATCATACTTCCTTATTTTCCTCCTTCCTATTTTTGATCATCTTTCCTGTCTATTTATCACAGTGGCACATACTCTACAAGTGCACAAAACCCCATCCTGTTACATCAATTTCATAATACTTCAAAGAGAGGTTAGATGTCAGCTGTGAATCAGGACCTTCAGGGATGTTCTTCTCTCCCTTCCTGAACACTAGCAGGACAGCTTGATTCATAAGGGACTGTATATTAATTGCAAGTGACTGGCTACCCGGGTGTACCTCACTCAGATGCATGCCATCTATTATGTCCTTTGTAATGAAACTCACAGTGCTGATACTTAGAAAGTTAATATGGCCATGCAACGAAGCCATTGATTCCCATCCAAGAACCTCATCAACCAGACACATTCTCTTCAACTGTGTGGTCTCATGAATTAATTAATGCAATTCAAGACTCTTGTGTGTTGAAAGTGTTCTGAAGCCAAACACTTTCAACTATTACAGATGATTAGCGGTACTGATCTAGGGCATGTTTAACCCAGCGCTTCGTTGCTGAAAGTAAATGCCACTTTTAATCATTTCCTGTACTGGGGGTCAAGAAGAATAACACATTTCCTTTTCTGAGTCCAGGGTATCCTAATTTAAAAAGCACAATGCCTTGTAGTCCTGAGAGTTGAAAACATAATAAAACATGAAGCCACGTCTCTTGTGAATCATGGATTCTATTTACATTGCTGTCTTAATTTTGTGGGAAATTCAAGTTGCCAGAGTAACTTTCTCCTTAAATGGGCAGAAGGCCAAACAGAACCTAAGGGATTTTCACTTCTTCTATTTTTTTATATTTTTACCAGCTGCACAGATTTGCCTAGTTTACCTTGTATGAGAAATGAAACTGTCATGCTCCAGTCAACCTACTGCAGTAATATGGGAGTTAACTGCTAATGCATATTGCAGAACTCATACGGCACTATTGTTACTAAAATAAGCTTCTAAACCTGCCATCTATGGTTTTGGGAATTCTTCCAAAAAGCATAGATAAGCATCTTTTAATTAGTTATCTGTCAAACAGCTTAATTTATTTGACAGACATTGCTGACAAGAGAAGGTCTGTAACAGCCCCATAACATAGTGATGATGCAGTCTGGTCTTATGTGTGTGTTATCACATTGGCAAAGTCTGAACAGATATCGTTATATATTGACAGAAAGGTGCAATAAAAAAATAATTAAACTAATTTGTACTATATGAGTACCTTAAGATAATGAGCTGCTGGCTATATAACAATTAGATATCACATTTTGCTATGACTTTTTATTTTCTCTTCATGATTCTGCTAGTTATTCTCTTGCTTTGTCTCGTCTCAGGTTAGACCACAACTTTTCCATGTACCAACAGTCCTGAAGAAGTCCTCATTTACTACTGCAACGTTAAAAATTACAATAAACAACAATGATTCAAGTAGCTGTATTTGTGCTTTATCTTACCACCTCCCAATCCACTACTAACTACCTTTAAGCTGCACAGAGTTGTGGGGATGATCAGCTGGTTTATACAGCTTTCTGGCTTTTAAATAAAAATGGAAAAACAGAATGTGCTCTGGATTTAAAGGTGGAAAGAGAATCCTGGCACCTGTAGCACTTGTGACTGAAACACTAATATAAATGGAAATTCTCCAATTTCAAAGGAGCTACCTACTCAGTAGGTATTATGAATGACCAGCTTAAAAGGTACACGTTTTGGACCAAATGGACCTGAAAATCAGAGATTTGGGCTTGATTTGGCTAACAGGTTTTAGCCTGGTAAGAATTCAGAGGATGAAGAAACCTCTGTTGAAGAGAAATTTTAACATTAACTGACACTTAAAACGAAAGCTGTATCTACTTTGCTCAATCATGTAGCCTGAATGTTCACATGGTGGTAAGAACATCTTGGCATGGCTGAACTCTTGAACGCATTTGCTGATAAGCCAAATCTTTTTTTTTTTTTTCCTTTCTCCTTCTCATTTATTAAATTATGAAGTAACAGACCTCTTGTTTCACCTACATAACTGAAAGAACAGTGTAATCCATGACATCAGTTTTAGGAGCAAAATTCTGAAATTGACTTAGGTATTTCAGAGACCAAGACTTTGGCTCCATACAAATGTATTACACACAGACAAACATAGAAATATAAATAAAACCACCATTTTCAGTGTTTGGGAATCATATGTCACAAAAGTAGGTGTGCATTCTAAAGTAAGTGTATTCAAAGTAAATTATTAAAATAATATGCATTGCTGTATTTTCACATACTTTTCAACAATGAAAAACTTGCCAAACATCATGACTATAAATTCTATCCAAAGCTAAAAATTCCAAGACCTGACATGACACTAGCAAATTATTCAACAGCTAAATTGCTAGTATCATAGATTTATTTTAGCCTTTCAAGCTGTAAGAAATAAAGAAAACTTCTGTACAACATAATGCATGTAATCACACATGAATAACGAATAAAGCATGAAAAACTCCAGGTAAAAAATGTCTCTTCATATTCATGCCAACTGAATGTCATCTTGAATAATTAGATTTTATTCTTGCCTCTTTTATTAAAATGGCATGTGATACTGGCCAAGTCACATCTTTCCGAAACAGATAGTATGCATTTCTTTTATTCTGGGAGCTAAATTTAAACATGTAGAGTCTGATATGCAGCAGAGTTGAGCAATGACTTTTGTAATTGAAGTCAAGAGTTTGACTTTTCAAAGATGCTAAACATACTAATCATTCAGTAAAACAAGTTTAGCTACATACTAAACATTCAGAAAAAAAAAAAAAAACAAAACATTTTAAGTTTCATAAAGCTGTAAATTCTGAAATAATTTTAGTTTTAATGCTTCCTCCTGTTCCCTACCATCCCACATTCAATTAAGAAAATTGCCAAGTAATTTCACAGGATGTTATTAAGCCAACATTTCTAAACAATCAAGAGGCAGGTCATTAATAGCAATTAATGAAATTATCATATTAAAAACTCACAAGAGCAATTAGCACCTTGGAAGGTGATGAAATCACTTTAAAAGAAATTTTAAAATAATGAGGCTACTAGAGGAAACTCTAGGAGGAAATTAATCGTTCTCTATGCACCATATCATTTCAATTATAGACAGTAAATAATGCACAAGGGTATGAGGTCTCACACCAAATGACAGCATAACAATACTAGCTTGCTATTCATTTTTTGATCATCATCCATCTTGTGAACTATAAAAGAAGATACTGAGCTGATCTGATATGAAAATAATCCAAGTACTTATTTTCAATGAGTAATATTTCTAAGGGGACTCAGGCTGTCTCAAGTTATATAGGTTATATACCTCAAATACTTTTCTGAAGTTTTGGAAAGAGTGCAACTAAGTACAGAGAATTAATTAGGTCATTTTCTGCTTCTTTTGCTAAATCATGATCTTGGATGACAACACAATGGAAGACAGTTATTCTGTCACAACCAAAGAAAGAGATATTCATAGACAAGAGCAGCTCTGGATTTAAATGTGCATGTAAGCCAAGCAGCAAATAAACACTTAGTAATTTAATCTAAGGAGACCTGTGCTGTAAAAAATAAAAATGTCATTACTCATTTTTCTTAGTATATTAAGCATGTATTGTTCTTTAAAGCCTGGTCTGCCCTTTGTGCTGATGGCTTTTACTGCTGATGTGTGTACGTGAGAATTACAATAAAAATGTTACAGGTACCCTGGGAAAAAGACTTCTGTGAGATGTGATTGACATGCTGTTCTTTTTCCGAATATATCTCAATCTGTGTGAACAAACTGTGAGCAGTCTGTTCAGTCAGGCAGTCTTCCTCCATTCCTCACTGTAAAGGAATGGTCAGGGAATCACCAACTATTCAGAGAGCTTGTCTTGTAGAGAGTAATGGTCTAGAGCTGTAGATATACATGTAGGTACTCTCCTGGGGCTAAGAGAGAGATGTTTCTCCACTGACCTAGTTGAACAGATTTATAATCCATGGAGCTATAAACTTACCTGATACATTGGAAGTAAAGATGTCAGACTGGATCTAACCGTTGTTAAAGGACCAACTATTAAAGCACATTACAACAGTTTAAATGAAAATGATCCAGACCCCTTCTATTTTCCAAATCCCAAAAAAGGTATTAAAAGTAAGCATGCAAGCTTTGAAAGGTACTCAATGCAAGCTCCTCTACAAGAGGAAACCAACTGACTTTACCAAACTGAAATACCTACCTTACTATTGCTGCACCAGTAAACCTTGGAAGTATGAAAAAATGTCTTTTGTTTGTTTTAGTGAATTCTACTATCTGGAAAATGTGGTCCCATATCTTGTATAAGCAAGTCCTTTGTCCCAGTGTTCTCGTTCCTGTCATTTGTCTAGAAAAACAAAAATCTTACCCTAGCAATTATTCTTTCATTTTGCTCATTTATTAGCAAATTGTGCATCATCAAAGGTGTTCTCAGTATTTCCCTTATGTTCAGCTTACCTGGCAAGGTTTTGGCAGCAGAGGGGCTGTAGTGGTGGCCTCTGTGAGCAGCACCCAGCAGCCGCCTCATGTCAGAGCAGAGCCAGCTCCAGATGGCTCCAAAAGGGTCCTACTGCCGGCCAGAGCAGAGCCAGTAAGTGGTGGTGTTTGCACCTCGGTGAGAGCAGATTTAAGAAAGGGAGAAACTGCTGTGCAACAGCAGCTGGGAGAGAGGATTGTGAAAGTGTGAGAGAAGCAGCCCTGCAGCCCCCAGGTGAGTGCCGCAGGAGGGCAGGAGTTGCTGCAGGCAGGCAGCAGCAGTTCCCCTGCGGGCTGTGCAGGGAGAGGCCCCTGGTGGAGCAGGCTGTCCCCCTGCAGCCCATGGGTCCCCCATGGAGCAGATCTCCACGCTGCAGCCCCCCCATGGGTGGAGGAGCCCCCGCTGGAGCAGGTGGATGTGGCCTGGAGGAGGCTGCGGCCCATGGAGAGCCCCCGCAGGAGCAGGCCCCGGGCCGGAGCTGCAGCCCGTGGAGAGGAGCCCCCGCAGGAGCAGGGGGTCTGGGGGGAGCTGCCCCCACCCGTGGGGGACCCGTGCTGGAGCAGTTTGCTCCTGGGGGATGGATGGATGGACCCCGTGGGACGGAGCCACGTGGGAGCAGTGCTTCAAGAGCTTCTGCCTGTGGGCAGCCCCCACGGGCTCAGTTGGGGAAGGACAGCATCCTGTGGGAGGGACCCCAGGGGGAGCAGGAGCAGAGAGGGACTGTGAGGGAGCAGCAGAGACGAAGACTCAGAGACTGAGGCCTCTAGACCTCTTTGTATCTTTTGGTGCCTCTAGGACACGAAAGAGACAGAGAGAGTTCCGACTGCAGGAAGACATCCATCTCATACACTGCCACATGTGAATGGCAAATCATCCCAAAGAATGTACCGGATGATGCTATTGACAGCTTCTTTCCCTCAGATAGAAAACCATTTCTTTGAAATATCTAAGTTTAAACTATGTTACTTAGTGGTTACTGCCCTGATGCCTTCCTTAGAGCAAGTAGAATAGTTATTAAGTTGTGTTTTGTCTAGTCCTCAAACGTTCTTCTACTTAGTCCACTCTTTTAACTCTCCATGTTTGCCGCATTTTTATTTTTATCTTGCTGCAGCAAGATAAAACCTAGAAAGAAGTAAATATTTTTTCCACGAATCTTTTGGATTCCTCCTTGTGTGTAACACTGTACTTACTCTGCTTAGCATATGAAAATGCACTCTGTATAGCATATAAAAAGGTCCTGAAGCAGCTTTCAGAAACCTTTTTCTGTGCAGTGGTATTGATATTTTCAAAGAATTTCAGAAGCAGAGCAATTACTTATTCAAGTTCTATTCAGTGTCAGCATCCAGGATTTGTTAATGTACGAAATAAAGCCAAATAATTTCTCTCCCTTGCCTGTTTTACCCGTTGGTGCCTAGCACTAAAAATTTAAGACAAAGCTGGTATGCAGCTAAGAAGGAAGTTGGGAATTTGTGGTCTGTAACTCCTATTGATATATTTCCCCTTCCTTTCTCCATCTGAAATGAAAAAATGAATCTGGACATTTTTTTCAGATGTCTGTGAGACAGCTATTTTTTCCTGAGATACCTGACTCATTTCCTATCTTCCCGTAAATAATTTTACCCAAGAATTTGTCATCCAATATTCTCCCTTACAACAAATCTTTGGCCTGTTTACCTTCAGAAATATTGCAATATGTTAGGAGTTAAGACTAAAGAGATAATTAATATTCAGAGATTCTTTCTGAAGTATGCTATTCCGTATGCTTTTCTGAGACTGAACACTAATTCAACCTTGGAAAAGTGATGTGCTTAATAAACCTTTCAGCATATATCAAGATAAAAATGCTCTCTGCTTGCTTGGCATACTGTCAATACTGTCAGAAAGGAAACGATGGAAAATAAAACAAGAGCCTGAACTGTAAGTTTTTACTAAGGTCACAGATATATTTGAGAACATGTATTAGATGACTGTCCCCATGAAATGGAAGATAATCACAGTTTTGCGTATATTTGTGCATATATATGTATGTTTTATGGAAGTGGATATTGAATGATATTTGATGCAGAGATGCCAAATATGTTGTTATACACCATTTCCAAAGCAGAATGCAGAAATACTGAAAATTCTCTGCAGAGAAATAGACATTGGCAATATTTCTCTTTTGGGAGAAACACCTGTCACAACTATCATTATGTATTTCAGAAAGGTACCTATGAAAAACAGCTTTTAGAAACAGCAAGTAAATAAAATGCAGAACAATTGCACAACTGTGTTTTTTTTATATGTTAGTTATCAATGTTATGTATAGGAAAAACTAACCCAAAGAAGTTAGCCAACATTACACCATTTGCAGCCTGGGTTACTTCCTTATATCAACCCCCTTGCTAGACTGCTGCACCAATATTAACTAATAAGTAACGAGTAAGCTTCTTGAGAGATACTTGAAAAAAAATAGTCCCAGTACACTTAATATAAAGCAAACCAGAATCTACTTTAATTTACACTAGAAATTGGGTTTACCTCTGCTAGGGGCTGAATAAATGGAGAACAGCGCTGGACCATATCTTAGCATCTCAGCTTATGGTTTAACCAGATGTCTGTAACTGTATAGCAGTCTCTTTTAAAATACATAGCAGATTTTCTCATAGCACAGATACTTAAGAGTAACTTATTTAAATTAGAAATAACAAACAAACAAACAAACAAAAATAGCCAAACCAACCCTACAGTTGAAAAGAGAATAATTATTTTTTACATTACATTTCTTTGTTGATCTTGTTTTAGAAATTGTGAATGCTTCATACAAAAGCCACTCAGAATAAATCTGATTAATTCAGAGGATAATACGACTTAAATAAAGTGCAAGTACTGATTGCCACCAATGTCATTAGTTTTAGGAAATGCATCTCTAAAACATGGCTAAGTTTGCAATTATACACACTTAAACCACTTCTCTAACTACAAGTTTGTTTCAAATTATCTATACAAACTATCTATACAAATTATCTGTACAAACACCAGTAAGGAGGTGCAGCAGCATAAGCTGATCTTACTAATAGTGCAGAAAAATTTTAAGTAATTAAATCACTCTGTATCGTGATACTGAAGATCAGAGATTGGCCCACAGAGAAGACAGAAATAGCTCTATACAGGACTGAGATATGGCTTTACAGCATGACTCACCTGAATTAGAATAATCCTATATTTTATATCTGCCTGAAACAATTTAATTTCACTGATACGCAACAGCTGTTGGTTTAAAAAAAAAAAAAAAAAAAAAAAAGGCTCAGCACAGCTACAATCATAACAAACAATGACCTTGGCTTATGTATCGTAGCCATGGTAGCAACTGAAAGGACTCTTCCCACAATGTGTTAGGAGGAGGGTTTTAATCGCAGTTTCCCATGACTGAGTGTCTCAACAGTGTAGCAAAGACTGAAAAAAAAAAGAGTTCCACAGTAGAGGAGGTTACTCGGAGGCATAAGATAATTTGTGAGGACATCACAAGAATTTTGCTTCTGTCATTTAGGGAATATTAGAGGCTCTGCTTACAGCTATTTTTAGAATCACAAAACTGCACCTATAAATGGTGGTTCAGCTTTGCTGTATTTATATTTCTGTTTCAAAGGAAAAGAATAATCTGTATGGGAGAAGTTGGGTTTCTTTTTCTTTGTGTCTGTGTGTGTGTTTCTTCTTAGTCTGAGCAGGAGGGTCAATGTCAGAACTCTGGACCTTGTTCTCAGTCTGACTTTCGAAAATTTCTCTGTGCCCTTACCATTGCATGTATAAGAAGTGGGCTACTACTCCAATTACCTCACAGGAGTAAGGAAAAAGTAGTTCATCTCTTTCAGAAACAAAAAGTGAGAAGAGGCTTTTCTGGATTTCCCTCCAGTAGGTGAACAGCTCACCATTTTAAATCAAAAAGTTAGTGCATTTTTTTCATCATATTTCTGGGACATGCAAAAAGCACAAATATGATGCGATCAGCTAGATTGCCATGTTCACAGATGCCAAAAGAAGTTTGAAAAATGGGAAGATAGCAACTGAGGAGTTGCACAGAGCTTACATAACATTATATGTAGGATTCACTGCTGTTATATAACACCAAAGCACTAATCTTCAGGTAAGTAAATTTCCTTGTCAGTATATAGTGAGGCTACAGTACTACATATGCCACAGCATACTGGCATGCACACATGTTGCTTGAAATACCTACACCCTATCCAGTCACCTTGAACACAGCCTGAGAAACATCCCCTCAGCATTTTGCAGGGAAGCTCAGTGGGAATCGTTGCATCTCCACTGTGGGTTTGCACTGTCTGCTTCTCGATGAGTTTGTACGGGCAGTGCTCCAGGCTCCATTTGGTAAGCTACCTGATCTGCGTGCTCCTGGCAGCTACTGCCCTGTTTGATCCAACCCTCAGGCCCTTTCTCCTTCCATTGGACCGAGGGCTTCACTTATGAGCTCAGCTGAAATCAGTGCCAGCAACAGGCAGAACTTTCTGCTGACAATTGCTCAGATTCAAAGCCCTCCTTCTGGTTCGTTGTAAAGCTACTCAGTCAAGCTTATAGCAGAATAAATGACTATTGCCAATAAATGACTATAGCCAATAGGTGAATAAATGACAAGTTTAATAGGACTGCATGGGAAGCTGCCCACAGGAAGCAAGGAACAATGTTCTGGCTGCATCCTACCTGCAAACAGGAGCTAGCCTTTTGTGTAATACACTCAAAGAAATGGTTATGTTCATAGAATCCTTCAAATATTCCTGAGACATGTAAGAAAAAAATTGCTAAGAAATTCAACCTGACTTATTGTGAAGGAAAGCTCTTATGCAACTGGCAATTCTTGTCTGTGAGCCTCACCTCACTGATTTTGCCATATAAGAGTAAAGTAGTCAAATGTAGAACATCATTGCAGTGTAGCAAAATGTGGGAGAGAAATAAGGACTTCCCAATTATCCTGGAGGGCAATGCCAAAGAACCACAGTGAATCAAACCTGAGCAGTTGATAACCGCTCTGTTTGGAAAGTAGTGTATCCTTAGTGGGTAGAGTGCTGCAATCACCGTGACAAGATCTGATGACAAAATCTGATGAGAAATTAAAAACAAACAACAAAAAAAAAGACAGCAAAAAGCAGTGTTGATGTCTTTTCAAAATCTACAGAGAAGCATAAAAACAACTAGAGAAGTGAGGAGTGTGCAGGAAGT